AAACACCCGACCGGACGTCGCATTTGCAACCGGACAGCTGGCTAGGGTTGTTCAATGTCCTAATGAGGAGCAGGTAGCTGCTGGAATGAGGGTGGCCAAGTATCTTGGCCAAACAGCGACGGTTGGGCTGCAATACTTGACGGCGGCGCAAAGGCGCCAAAAGGGCGCGGATGGTGTTGAACCCGGGCGTTTGTTCCTCACCGCATTCTTGGATGCTTCTTATGCATCAGAACCAGAGGACATGACAAGTGTTGGACGGTTCATTTGCTGTGTTGGTGGAGGCCCAACTGCTTGGGAGAGCAAGAAGCAGGTGGATCAAGCATTGAGCTCGGTGGAGTCCGAGTACATGGCACTCTTCCGTGCCGTACGGGAGATTGTGTGGCAGCGGCGTTTGTTGGCTGAATTGGGGGAGGAGCAGCAAGGACCTACCCCACTCTACTGTGACAGCCAGGGTGCCATTGCTCTTGCTACGAACCCTGTGTTGCATGGCCTCACGAAGCACATGAGGGTGAAGTGGCATTGGACGAGGAGCATGGTGGCCGCGGGTGAAGTTGAGTTGCGCTACGTAAAGACGACGGGGCAGCCAGCTGACATGATGACCAAGAGGTTGGTGGAGCAGCAGCATTGGAAGTGTTGCAAGCTGGCTGGGATGGCTCTGAACTGAGAGAGCAAGTTCCTAAGGCCAACAATCCGAGGGGGATTTTGTTGGTGCAACCCTACGGTTTGCATTCGGCTTGTTGTCCGTGTGCGTGCATGCGTGTGTGCATGGAATGGTATGAGGGCATGAGATAATATATATTTCATGCTTATAATAGTGTGTGAATGATGAGGCATGGTTTTGAATGTGTGTGTCGAGTCAATAGCGAGTTATCGCTAGTCGCTTGTCACGTCATTGTTCGCGTGTCGTGTGCGGTTTTCTATTTTGTCGTGTGTGGAACGTTCGGCGTGTCGCAGGTGTGCGCAGCAGAATTCCAAGAACTCAAGGAAGAATTTATCTTGAAGAACCAGAGCCTTGGTTTCAAGATTCAAGGGATTTCGAAGCTCTGTGTGTGTATTACTTTGTGTAGTGTAACATTTCTCTTGGTGTAGGCCCTTGTGGAGGGTAGTTTCGAGACCCTTCGTGGTTGGGGACAGTGTGGCACTGTTCCACATCACTGTACCTCGGCTCTTGGGGTTTGTAGGAGCTGGGAGTCATTCCCAACTCGTAACTCTTCCTATCTTGTGTTCTAAGACTATAGTGGCTGCCATACTACCGTTCGTTCAAACCAACGTTGCGTCGTCAATTCTTGATGAAGTCGTGTGATTCAACTTGCTTCGTGTAGGCAACATCAAGAAGCTCCAGATCCAATTTATAGCAAGTCATTTGCAGCTGTGAGCAGAACGCTTTCAACGATTGAAGACGCTGTGCAGAAATCCGACTGTGCACTCTATCTTTCGTTTTAGGCACATTCAAGGCTATTGTGACTATAACACCCTGTTCGCGCTGGTCGTCGCGTTCCTCGTCCGTGTCCTCCTCCTGTTTCAGGCACACACGCTATGGCACTTCATCCTTCCTCTGTTCCACTGCGTGTTCCTTTGCCTGCTCCTCCTGAGCCCTCTCTTCCTGCCGTCCCTGACCCTGAGTCTGATTGCGCTCGTGCTGCCAGTCCCACTGTCTCGCGTCTCCTCGCCAGTGTTGTCACTGACCTTGTTTTTGAGTCCACTGCTTAGTCTGCCCTCGCTGCTGAGCTGCTTGACTTTGCTGCTACCTGTCGTCTACGTTATGTGATGCTATCATTTGCATTCACGTTCTGCCTCCCATCATATGTTCGTGTGTTGCATGCGTGGTGTGAGCGTGTGCAAGAATTTGTGTTTGGTGTTGTTTGGATTTTCTGAGTGTGTACGAGTGTTATTTGCCTTGAGCAGATATCTGAAGTTACTCCTCTACTTGAGAGCTTTCCGACAAACTGAGAATCGCCGCGATCGGAGCAAGAACGAGAAAGATATGATTGTTCGAAGTTTTGATTGAGATGCGGCGACTATGGGAATTTGCGGGTTGACTCAATATGGGGTACAGAATTTTGGGGGTTGGGAAAGTCGTCACCATCACTGTAGATGATGCCAAGTGGTTGGAAGAAGCCAAACCAGGTTGGCAAGTGTGGCCAAGTTGGGTGAGGTGGACGGCATGAGTTGGGAAAGTGACAAATGCCAAAGTTGGGGTGCCTATAGAGAGGGGAATTGTGTGGTATGGGGTTTCCTTGGTTGGGGACTCCCTTGGGACCTTCCCTCTCGTCCTCCTCATCCCCTCCTACCTGGTTCAATTGCTACTCCGACTTTCTTGTGTGAACTTGTGAGACAACTTTGTTTTTGAGTTAAGTTTTCTATGGCAGCATACCCCCTAGTGCGCCAAAATTCATAACTCAAGATAGAATCCATATTTTGATACTATTCAACTTGGGAAAGATAGCTACGGTCAAGGCTACAACATACTCGAGTTTGATAGAATTCTGACGGAGCTTTTTTTGTCGACGACGTTTCTTGTGACGAGGACATTTCTGTCGAGAATTTTAGTTGACGATTTTGAGATATTTCGGCCCTTAATCTTCATAGACTTAAGTCTTTAACACTATAGACTACGCCACTGCTCTTGTTGCTGAGTCTAAGTCTGCCAGTCCTCCGTCCGTCGGGGGTGAGTGTGCTCTTGGCACGGACGTCCTTGAGGACAGGCAGGAGGACTTTGAGTGTCTTGCAACTGCTGTACCTCATTTTGCTTCCATGCTGCTTGCCCCTGAGGGAGACCCGGATGCACCAGACATCCCGACCCCGTGCTCTCATGCAGAGGCGATTACGGGTCCTTACTCCTCTCAGTGGCCGACATCCATGGATGCCGAGATGGCATCCTAGAAGTCCACAGGCACCTACGTCAACGCAATTCCCCCGTCTCGGGCGAACATAGTCGATGGCATGTGGATCTTCAGGGTGAAGCGACCGTCGGGTTCTCCGCCTGCCTTCAAGGCGCGTCACATTGCTAGAGGCTTCAGTCAGCGACAGGGGGTTGACTACTTCCAGACCTTCTCCCCCACCCCAAAAATGACTACTCTTTGGGTGTTGCTGCATGTCGCTGCTCAGCGTGACTACGAGTTGCACTCTCTGGACTTCAGCACAGCTTTCCTACAGAGCAGCCTGCACGAGGAGATCTGGCTGCGCAGCCCACCTGGCTTCACTGGGTCGTTTCCTGCAGGTACCCAGTGGAGCCTCCGGTGGCCAGTCTACAGTCCCTGCCAGGTGCCTCGCGAGTGGCACGACACACTGAGGACTACACCTGAGGCTCTGGGGTTTACTCCTTCTACTGCTGACCCGTCGCTGTTTCTACGCACCGACACGTTGCTGCCGCCGTTCTACGTCCTCGTGTACGTCGACCACCTGGTCTTTGCCACTGTTGACACTGATGCACTGACCCTTGTGAAGTCGGAGCTGCAGAAGAGACACACCTGCACTGACCTGGGTGAACTACGCAGCTATCTTGGCTTGCAGATCACCCAGGACAGAGCACGGCGCACCATCACACTGACTTAGTCACACATGGTGCACCAGGTCCTTCAGCGCTTAGGCTTCCAGTTCTCCTCGCCACAGCCCACTCCTCTGTCTACCAGCAACTCGCTCTCAGCTCCACCTTCGGACGAGTCCGTAGAGCCGAGTGGTCCGTACCCAGAGCTTGTGGGTTGCCTCATATACCTGATGACGTGCACACGACCTGACCTTACGTACCCTCTCAGCCTTCTGGCTCGCTACGTGGCTCCCGGTAGGCACCGAAAGGTGCACTGGGATGCTGCGAAGAGGGTACTGCGTTACTTGTGCAGTACGTCGGGCATGGGGCTCGTGCTTGGAGGACGGGGTCCAGTTGTCCTCACTGGTCACGCAGACGCTTCTTGGGTTGACGACCAGGCAACTCAGCGTTCGTCACAGGGTTACACCTTCAGTCTTGGCTCTGGTTCTGTCTCGTGGAGGTCCAATCGTTCTTCTTCTGTGCTTGGCTCCAGCTGTGAGGCCGAGATCTACGCTGGAGCCATGGCTGCACAGGAGCTACGCTGGCTGACCTACCTGCTGACCGACTTGGGGGAGCGGCCTCGTTCTCCTCCAGTTCTGTACGTTGACAACAAGGCAATGCTGGCCTTGTGTCACGAGCAGAGACTGGAGCACAGAACGAAGCTCATTGCTCTTCGCTCTTTTCTTGCGCGTGAGCTGCAGCAGCGTCGTCAGCTCCGCCTTTCCTACGTGGCCTCGCGGGCCAACACTGCTGATGTCTTCACCAAGGCCCTTGGGTCTGGTGATCATCAACGTTTCTGCACTGCACTTGGGCTTGTGCCCACTCTGCCTCACTTACTTGTCTCTTGATCTTGCTGTTGTTGTACACTGATATATATGAGTATCCCTGCATGGTTACACTTGCTAGGTTGTGATCAGTGTACCGCTCTTGCTATTATAAACTCTGCATGTGAACTGGCCTTGTGGCCACTTACTTGTGCTCGGAATGCGTGGTGATCTTGAGATCCACCCTGAGCTTTGCTTCGCTTTGCTTTTTCTCTTGACTGGTCTTGTGACCATTGCTTGCTCTGGCTATCCCCCACTTCGCCTATGGGGGTGTGTCAAACATTATATGTTTCTCTTTCTCTAGACTCTAGTGGGTTTAGTCTTAGGGGGTACACAATATCTCTCGACATTGTACTTGTACCCCTCCCTCAACCTAATTGACAACTTCTTCTCTCTACTCTAGTCACCTAGCCTAGGGTGGATTCTGACAGAAGCGAGGCCCCTTCAAGGGGCGCTGCTACAACTGCAATGAGGAGGGGCACGTGACTGCCAAGTGCTCCAACAAGAAGAAGGATGCAACGCCCGCGGCAGCCGCAAAAGTAGCTGAAGGAGATGGGAAGGGCGTGGCACTCACCGTTGCGTGTTCGGCTGCAAAGTTGCTGGCCGACGACAAGGACTTGTGGTTCCTTGACTAGGGATGCTTTCAACACATGACCGGCCGCAAGGAGTGGTTCACGGCGACCCGTGACCCATCTGCAACGAAATCCGTCAAAGGGTTTGATGGTTCTATGCAGGAAGTCGCCGGTGTTGGTGAGGTTTTGCTGGAGGGCACTAACGGCTTGCGTGTGACCCTGCATGATGTCCTCTTTGTGCCAGGAATGAAGGCCAACTTGGTCTCCCCTGGGCAGCTCACGGACAAAGGAGCAAATCTGCAAACCGAAGAAGGTGTCACCCGCATCATCGCATCAGGAGGACAAGTGGCTGCAATGGCACGCTACCGCCATCGTCTTCTCTGCCTTGACCTGAAACCGTGGCCAGCAAGCAACGGCACAATGGCAGAAGCAGCATGCAACGGCACGGTGGCTGCATCCGCTTGCACCAATACGACGGTTGGAGCAGCATGCAACGGCACGGTGGCTGCAGCGGCATGCAACGGCACAGCGGCTGGAGCGGCATGCAACGGCACGGTGGCTGCAATGACATGCAATGGCATGACTAAGGCGGTTGCTGACGGAGCAGCCAGCCTCAAGACGTACGCGGTGGGCTCCAAGGCAACGCCCAACCTGTGGCACGCTCGACTTGGACACGTCCACTTTGATGCGGTGAAGCGGACAGCCACGAGCGGTGGCATGTTAGGCATGGACCTGGAGAAAGGAGGTGAGGATATGCCGTGCACCTCTTGCAATGAAGCCAAACTCACTCACGAATCATTTCCGCTGCACGACGAGTGCGAGGAGCAGGTTCTTGGGCTGGTCCATACTGACGTGTGCGGTCCATTTTAGACCCCAGCCATGGATGGAAGCAGGTACTACATTCTGTTCGTGGACCATGCCTCATGTTACACCTGGGGGAAGACGTTGAAGCTGAAGAGCGACGCGCTTGCTGCCTTCAAGGAATGGCTTCCCAAAGTTGAACGCCAAACCGGGATGACGCTGAAGGTGTTGCGGTCAGACCGGGGAGGGGAGTTTATGTCGAATGAATTTCTGTTGCTACTGAAGCAATGAGGAATCTTGTGTCAACTTTCCTGCCCCTCGACCCACCAGCAGAACGGTGTGGCTGAACGCCGCAACCGTACGGTAACCGAGGGCATGCGTGTGATGTTGGGGCACATGGGGGTGAAAGCACACTAGTGGCACTTCGCTTTCCAGCAGTTCTTGTGGGTGGTAAACCGTGTGCACCGGTCCACCCTACCCCATGGTGTGACCCCTCATTTGGTGGTGTTCAAAGTCAAGGCCGATGTGTCCACGGTCCGTGTGTTTGGGTGCATGGTGCAATACCTCATTCCTGAGCATGAGCGTGTGGGGAAGCTTACAAGCAAGACTCGTTGGGGCATGCACTTGGGCATGAGCATGGAAAGCAAAGGATGGCATGTGGTGGATGTTGAGTCAAAACGCATGGTCATCACCCGGGATGCACGTTTTTATGAGGACATGACACTTGAACGGTGGCAGAAGTGGCGTGCACGCGTGGGTGACGGGAATGACCAGTCCACACCACCCTTTGCTTCAGTCCCATCTCTCTTTCCTGAGCCCCATGACCCCGAGCAGAATCCGCCGCCACCACGTACCGTCATCGTGGTCCCGGTACCGTCCGTGCAAGGGGGCGAGCAACCCCTTGATCCCTCGGTGGGCCCTTTGGGCAGCAAGGCACCTACTGCACCTCCTCCTCTCGATCCACCCTCCGTTGCTGACTCGGCGCCCGTGGGACCAGATGATGGTCCTCTGGAGGTTGGCACCAGCATGACTGATCACGAGGAAGAAGAAGAAGTAGCTGTGGATGAGCAGTTACCAATGGCCCATGAGCATGAGCCTTCACCTTCAGTTCCCCCCATCCAGCCCATTCCACCACCCCCACGTCGCTCCAGCAGGCCTAACAAGGGGGTGCCACCCGTACGGTTTCAGCCATCAGCCATGACGGCCCAGGATGCGGACGATGAGGACAACCCGTACGACGTGGCGTGCCTTGCTGAGGACGATTGCGACATGGACAGTGATGACGAAGTGGAGTACCCGGACAAGGATGAGGAGGAGGCGCAAGGGGAGGTGTCATCCTCGACCTGGCAGCTGCGTTGACCGGACCTGAAGGCAAGGAATGGTGGGCTGCTATGAAGGAGGAGATGGAGAGCCTTGATGAGCAAGGCACTTGGACGTTGGCTGACCTGCCCGAAGGTCGCAAAACTGTCGTCAAGTGGCTGCTGAAGAAGAAGCTGCTACCTGATGGTACCATGGAGAAGTACAAGGCCAGGCTCGTGGCAAAGGGATTCAGCCAGCGCTTCGGCATCGACTACGACGACACCTATGCTCCGGTTGGCAGCTACACCACCGTCCGTGTGCTCGTCTGAATCGCAGCAGCTATGGACCTGGATTTCCTGCAGCTTGATGTGAAGAATGCATTTATTCACGGCACCATCGACCATGAGATCTACATGCAGCAGCCACCCTACTTCACCGACGGGTGCAGCAAGGTGTGCCTCCTGCAGAATAGCCTTTACGGCCTAAAGCAAAGTCCCCTTCTTTGGTACTAGGAGCTGGACAAGGTGCTCCTTGTGGAGGGGTACAAGAAGAGCCTTGTGGACCAGGCCCTATACTACAAGGATGGGGCGAGCGGGAAGCGCGTGTGGCTGCTAATCTATGTGGATGACCTGCAAGCAGCAAGTGAAGACAAGCAGCTGCTGCAGGACCTGAAGGAGTTGCTGGCAAAGGCGTTTCAGCTCCGTGAGGTGGAGCCTGTGGAACGCTACCTGGGGCTGCAGATTGTGCGCGACCGCCCCAACAGGACACTCCTGCACCATAATGCATACGTGGCGAAGGTGCAGCAGCGGTTCTTCAAGGGGGCACCACCGAAGAAGCAGCCGATCACTCCTCTCTCCTCTGCCAGCTTTGCCAAGCAGGATGCTAGGAAGTTTGACAACCGTACCACGACCGAGTACTTGTCAATTCTCGGCATGGTGCAATTTGCAGCCATTTCAACCCGTCCTGACCTCTCTTGTGCGTGCAGCCGCCTTGCAGTAGGTGCACACCTCAGGACGGATGCGCATTGGTATGAGCTCTTCTGCATACTCTCCTACTGGGCTGCCTCACCGGACACGGGGCTGCTATTCAAGGGAGGACCAGAGAGCTTGACCCTCGTGGGGTATGCGGATGCGGATGATGCGGGCGACAAGTAGAACAGGTCGTCCACGGGAGGCTACCTCTTCAAGCTTGGTAGAGATGCTAAAGAAGGGTCTTCCCACCACCCTGTACGTCGACAACATGTCAGCGGTGCAGCTCAGCCACGCGGGCGGGCTGCAGGGGCGCATGAAGCATGTGGACCGTCGCCACATGTGGCTGCAGTGTTGGTGCAACCCTACGGTTTGCATTCGGCTTGTTGTCCGTGTGCGTGCATGCGTGTGAGCATGGAATGGTATGAGGGCATGAGATAATATATATTTCATGCTTACAATAGTGTGTGAATGATGAGGCATGATTTTGAATGTGTGTGTCGAGTCAATAGCGAGTTATCGCTAGTCGCGTGTCACGTCGTCGTTTGCGTGTCGTGTGCGGTTTTCTATTATGTCGTGTGTGGAACGTTCGGCGTGTCGCATGTGTGCACAGCAGACTTCAAAGAACTCAAGGAAGAATTTATCTAGAAGAACCAGATCCTTGGTTTCAAGATTCAAGTGATTTCGAAGCTCTCCAAAATGGTAAACTTTAAGATAGTGAGAATAGTTGCATTACTTTGTGTAGTGTAACATTTCTCTTGGTGTAGGCCCTTGTGGAGGGTAGTTTCGAGACCCTTCGTGGTTGGGGACAGTGTGGCACTGTTCCACATCATTGTACCTCGGCTCTTGGGGTTTGCAGGAGCTGGGAGTCATTCCCAACTCGTAACTCTTCCTAATTTGTGTTCTAAGACTATAGTGGCTGCCATAGTACCGTTCGTTCAAACCAACGCTGTGTCGTCAATTATTCATGAAATCGTGCAATCTAAATTGCTTATTGTAGGCGACGTTAAGACGCTCCAGATCCAAGTTGAATCAGGTCATTTGAAGCTGCGACCAGAACGCTATCAACGTTTGAAGCCATTATGCAAAAATCCGAATGTGCACTCTATCTTTCGTTTTAGGCACATTCAAGCCTATTGTGACTATAACAAGTGGTATCAGAGCCCCTTGAAGCAGTTTCAACAATGGCTAGACCTGAAGGAAGGGGTGGCAGAGGTGCTGGTGGCAGTGGAGAAGCCCAAGCTCAAGGCCAACTCCGTGATCCCACCATGTCTCCCATGCAACCAAGTCTTGGCCCACCTAGGGATGAGCCTAGGGTGTTTGGGCTTGACAAGCTCAACAGTGAAAACTTTGCTGAATGGTCCTTCAAGATGGAGAACATCTTTGACCACTATGACCTGCTGGAGGTGATGGAAGGAACGGTGAAGCGCCTCGAGAACGACCCGGAGAAGAGCCCGTGGGTGCGGAAGAGCGCACAAGGCTATCTCCGACTTGGGCAAGCGTTGGGGAGCAGCCAGATCCATCACATCAAGCCATTCCAGCGTGAACCAGATAAGGGACCAAAGCCATGGGCTGCTCTCAAGGGTGTACACGCTCCTGCAACAGCGGCGGTAGCGGTGGTGTTGGAACGGCAAATGGCGGCACTACGAATTGAAGAATACGAAGCGGTTGAAGAAGGGGTGCAGAAATTCTTCGACTTGTTGACGCGGCTTGAGGGAGCTGATTTGAACTACAGTGAGCTCCAAAAGAAGACCAAGTTTCTGGCCTTACTCCTAGAGTCATGGTCCTCACTCATCATCAACCTCAATCGTGACTTGCCCCGCCTGTCACTTGAAGACGTGAAGCGAGCAATCCTTCAAGAGGACTTCCGCCGCCGTGAGTTGGCGAGTGCAGATGGCGCCGGGGCAGGAAGCATCGGCCGCGGGTATGGCCGTGGAAGGGGCAGAGGACGAAAGGGAGGCAGATTTGGCCGCAAAAACTACAATGGAGGCCGCGGAAGTGGCAGCTATGGCAATGACAACAAGAACTATGGACGCGGTCGCGAACAGTTCGACGGCGAGTGTCATTTTTGCCACAAGAGCGGACACATGTGGCGCGATTGCTACAAACTCCCTGATTGATGGACTCCTGCTCAAGGCCAAGAGGGTAGAGGAGCAGGGGGAGGGAGAGGAAGAGGCCATGGAGGCCGTGGCGGTTGCGGAGGTGGTGCTGCAAATATGAAGAACGGTGACAACGAGAGCGAGTCGAGGGACGATCGCTTTCCGGGTCAATTCTTCTTTGTGTCGACGCAAGCACCGGCTGCACCAGAAAAGGATGAAAGCTTTGAGGAGCCTGCTGCTATGGGGAAGGTGACCCTATACTCCCTAGACTATTGGGTGATCGATAGCGGCGCTACCTACAGCATGACACCTCGTGCGGACTTGCTCACCGAACTCGAACCGTCACTGGTGAAGCATGTCACATCGGCTTTGGGGCAGCGAGCAGAGGTGAAAGGCATGGGCAAGGCCATGTTCAAGGGTGCTGATGGGAGGATGGTGGGCCTCAAGAACGTGCTTTGGGTGCCCAACCTTGCTGCCAACCTGATTTCCGTGCGGCGGTTGCAAAAGGCCGGCATGGACACGAGCTCGAAGGGAACTAAAACCTATCCCGCGAGGCTTGGCGAGCGTATTCTTTGGGACCTTCACAAGGATAGGGATGTCTACAACGAGATGTGGCAGATCCCTGTGGTCCCCATGCCTAAGGAGAGGCAAGTGGCAGCAAGCATCAGCACCAAGGGTGAAGCGGTTGGTTGCGGTGATGGCGCGAACGGTCGCGCTAAGGAGATTGAGTCCAAGAAGTGCAAGCTTGGAGGGACCAGCAAGCTCGGTGAACAAGAGGAGAGTGGTGCAGCAGCCAAGAAGCAGCACAAGGGTGAGGATAATGTCAGAATATATTTTATATATTTTGCTGTATAACTGTATATAGTTATAGTTGTAGTGTAGTTACTGTTATAGTTCCTGTAGGTGGTGCACCCTTTGCCATCTCTCGCTCCTATATCTTGTACTTTCTTCTCTTAGTGAATCAGCTTTCCCCTCTCACTTTTCACTCTCGACAATTGCCTAGCTTACACCCTAGCCATGGCTCCCTAGCCTATGAGCTCATTTCAACATGGTATTAGAGTAGTTTCGACCTTTTGGGCCCACCACCTACTGCCCTGCTAGCCTAGGCCCGGGCCCGTCGCCCCTTGGCGTCGCCCCTAGCCCCTAGGCTTGGTCCCTTGGCCCCGTCACCCCTAGCTGGAGCCCCTCGGCCCCTTGGCCCCTGTTGTGCCAAAGCACTATAGTGGCACGGTCATCGCACTCCCATTCCGCCTGCAAGCCTGATCAGCTTCTGGAATTTTGTGGGGAGGTGCTTCAACATGTGTTCGTCAGAACCTCAAAGTTTCAGAATTTTTGAAGCAGTTTACAAGGCATGACAACATTTTTAGTTTCAAGACTTATGGCATCCCGGAAGTGTGTGTTACTCTTTTTTGGTAACACCCGAGTTCACCATTTCGGCTGCTGACTCATCTACGAAGCTCTGATTGGTCTGAAAATCGGTGTGGCAGTGCTTTGCCGTCTTGTGCAGGTGGTCACCGAGTTTTAGGACAACCCAGCATCGGAGCAGCACGTTACAGCTGTCGAAAGTTACTGTTCCGTAGTCATGGTGCACTGTTGGCAGCATTTCCCTTGCCACCCTTTCATTGTTGTCATGCCAATGGTGCAGCGACAGAGAATGAGACAAGAAGTACAGGTGGTCAATTGGGACTCTACCACCCTCCTTTTGAGAAGTGTGGTCTTCCTGGAAGCAGCTTGCAAGAGGGTGCAAGTGGGAAGACAAGCTGACTCATGGTTGGCTTGACTCACTATTGGTAGCCTTGAGTACAGCTCTGAACATCCAAGTGTGGTTGGATTTGCTGACCTAGCTAGGACGTTTCCCATCATTCTCTAGCCTTTCTCCCCTAGGATAATCCCAACCCCTTAAGAGTCCCCTAGGCAATGTTGTACTCACCTCTTCCTTGCATCAATGAAACTACACGTTTTTCAGCCGAGCTTACGTTTTCGTTCACTGCGTAACGCATACACCTCTGATGAAATCAAGCAATATACCGTTTGAAAGCAGACACCTCAAGATAACGTTTCACCAAGTTTCAGCCTCGTATGTTATTGGAGCTGATCGTGACGGCGTTTTGAACAGAGGCGGTACGAAGTCATCAGATTCTGTTTAGGCGGTTTCAAGGGCATCCGCGACCACTAAGTGGACTCTAGACTATAACAGCCCCGTCGCCCCTAGCCGCGGCCCCTAGGCCCTGTCGCCTCGGCCCCTTGGCCCCGTCGCCCCTAGCTGGAGCCCCTCGGCCCCTTGGCCCCGTCGCCGCTAGCCACGGCCCCTAGGCCCCGTCGTCTCGGCCCCTCGCGACCCTAGGCCCGTCGCCCCGTCGCCTCGGCCCCTTGGCCCCGTCACCCCTAGCCGCGGCCCCTAGGCCCCGTCGCCCCCAGCTGCAGCCCCTCGCGACCCTAGGCCCCTTCGCCTCGGCCCCTTGGCCCCGTCGCCCCTAGCCGCGGCCCCTAGGCCCCGTCGCCCCCAGCTGCGGCCCCTCGCAACCCTAGGCCCTGTCGCCTCGGACCCGATGCCCCGTCGCCCCTAGCCGCGGCCCCCAGGCCCCGTCGCCCCCAACTGCGGCCCCTCGCGACCCTAGGCCCGTCGCCCTGTCGCCTCGGCCCCTTGGCCCCGTCACCCCTAGCCGCGGCCCCTAGGCCCCGTCGCCCCCAGCTGCGGCCCCTCGCGACCCTAGGCCCCGTCGCCTCGGCCCCTTGGCCCCGTCGCCCCTAGCCGCGGCCCTCGTCGACCCGTCGCCCCGTCGCCCCTAGCTACGGCCCCTCGCGACCTGCCGCCCCTAACCGCGGCCCCGTCGCCTCTAGCCTCGGCCCCTCGCAACCTGTCGCCCCTAGCCGAGGCCCCGGTGCCCCGTCGCATCATGGAGGGTAAGGGGGTGGCGAGAGGGGTGGCGGTTTCTTCCTGCTAGCATGCCCTGCAGTCGCACGCGCAGCTCCGCCCCCGCCCCCCTCCCCCCCCTCCATGGGGACGGGGGGGAGAGGGTTTGAGGGGGTGGCGGATGTGCCTCAGCAGCAGCAGCTGCCGCCACGCCTCCTCCTCTCTCTCTCCCTGCCACACCTTGTGTTGGGAGGGGGGGGGGAGCTTGGAGGTTCAGGGGGAGGCAGGAGGGGATCTGCAGCACCAGCCCCCCCCCGCCCCCCCTTTCTCCTCCATCCCTGGGGGGTGAAGGATTGTGGAGCAGCCGTGGGGGGGAGGGGATCTGCAGCACCAGCCCCCCCCGCCCCCCCCTTTTCCTCCATCCCCCTACTGCGGGTGCAGCAGTGGGGGGGAGGGGATCTGCAGCACCAACCCCCCCCGTCCCCCCCCTTCTCCATCCCTGGGGGGTGATGGATAGTGGAGCAGCAGTGGGGGGGAGGGGATTTGCAGCATCAGCCCCCCCCCGCCCCCCCTTCTCCTCTCTCTCTCCCTGCTGCACCTTGTGTTGGGAGGGGGGGGGAGCTTGGAGGTTCAGGGGGAGGCAGGAGGGGATCTGCAGCACCAGCCCCCCCCGCCCCCCCCCCCCCCCACTTCTCCTCCATCCCCCTGCTGCGGGTGCAGCGGTGGGGGGGAGGGGATCTGCAGCCCTGTGCGCCCTGCTGCCCTGTTTGCCCTGCGCGCCCTGCTGCCCTGCAGCCCTGCGCGCCCTGCTGCCCTGCTGCCCTGCTGCCCTGTGCGCCCCGCGCGCCCTGCAGCCCTGCTGCACCCCGCGCGCCCTGCTGCCCTGCTGCCCTGCAGCCCTGCGCGCCCTGCAGCCCTGCTGCGCCCCGCGCGCCCTGCTGCCCTGCTGCCCTGTGCGCCCCGCGCACCCTGCAGCCCTGCGTGCCCCGTGCGCCCTGCTGTCCTGCTGCCCTGCGCGCCCTGCTGCCCTGCAGACCTGTGCGCCATGCTGCCCTGTGCGCCCCGCGCGCCCTGCAGCCCTGCTGCGCCCCGCGCGCCCTGCTGCCCTGCTGCCCTGTGCGCCCCGCGCGCCCTGCAGCCCTGCGCGCCCTGCTGTCCTGCTGCCCTGCGCGCCCTGTGCGCCCTGCAGCCCTGCGCGCCCCGCGCGCCCTGCTGCCCTGCTGCCCTGTGCGCCCCGTGCGCCCTGCAGCCCTGCGCGCCCCGCGCGCCCTGCTGTCCTGCTGCCCTGCGCGCCCTGCTCGCCCTGCAGCCCTGCGCGCCCTGCTGCCCTGCAGCCCTGTGTGCCCTGCTGCCCTGTGCGCCCCGCGCGCCCTGCAGCCCTGCGCGCCACGCGCGCCCTGCTGCCCTGCAGCCCTGCTCGCCCTGCAGCCCTGCTGCGCCCCGCGCGCCCTGCTGCTCTGCTGCCCTGTGAGCCCTGCTGCCCTCCAGCCCTGTGTGCCCTGCTGCCCTGCTGACCTGTGCGCCTCGCGCGCCATGCTGCCCTCTGCACGCGCCATGCACAGCCCCTACCCCGCCCACCCCCCCCCCCCCCTTCTCCTCCCTCTCCCTGCTGCACGTGCAGCAGTTTGGGTGGGAGGGGGGGGGAGGGGAGGGGAGGGTGTGAGGGGGAGGTTGCACCTACAGAGCCAACCTGCCTCCTCTCTCTCACAGCCGCACCTGCTGCTGTGGGGGGGAGTGTGAAGTGGTGGGGAGGCTCAGGGGACGTGGGTGGTGGGTGACACAGCTGCAGCAACTGCCACCACGCCTCCTCCTCTCTCTCCTCACTACTGCTGCTACTGCTGTGCGGGGGGAGGTTGAGGGGGTGCTGTGAGTCCAGCTGCAGCATCAGCCGCCTCCTCCTCATTTGCACTCTCCTTCTTCCGCTGCGCAGGGTGTACTCCTTCAGGGGGTGTTCTGCACATGGCTATTCCTGCATGCAGTTAGGGGGTGTGTCAGTATATTTTATATATATTGCTGTATAACTGCATAAAGTTATAGCTGTAGTGTAGTTACTGTTATAGTTCCTGTAGGTGGTGCACCCTTTGCCATCTCTCGCTCCTATATCTTGTACTTTCTTCTCTTAGTGAATCATCTTTCCCCTCTCACTTTTCACTCTCGACAATTGCCTAGCTTACACCCTAGCCATGGCTCCCTAGCCTATGAGCTCATTTCAATAGATAACCCCAAGGCAGCAGCGGAGGAGGAGTACGGAGAGAGCATGTGGGACACTATTGCGAGTGCGGCATTCTCCAATCCGACTTCGGCTACGGGGGAGTGTGATTGGCTCACCTTGCATCGGCGAATGGGGCATGTGGCCCTGCCCATCTTGCAGCAGCTAGTGAAGAATGAGATGGTTGCTAGCATTCGTGTGAAGGGGGAGCCCGATGAGGTACTTGGCTGCCCGACGTGCATGCAAGCCAAGTTCACCCGTTACCCGTTCTCTAGTTCGGAGGCAACGGCTAAGGCACCACTTGATGAGGTGGTGATGGACGTGGTGGGCCCCTTGAAGCCTTGAGCTGCTGGAGCTGAGAATTTCCTGACCATTGTGGACGTCTACACCCGCATGACCTGGTTGTACGTGCTGTGCAAGAAGAGCGACGTGGCTGAAACGGTGAAAACCGATTGGTTGCCGATGGTGGAGCGGCAACAAGACCGGCTAGTGAAGGCAATTCGCACCGATCGAGGGGGCGAGTTCCTAAGCAAGGAGTTCTCATTGTGGCTGAAGAAGAATGGCATAAGGCACTCCCTTACCATGCCATACTCCCCTGCAATGAACGGCATCGCCGAGCGAGCGAACCACATAATCACGGAGATGACACGCGGGTTGCTCATTGAAGCCGGGCTACCGGACTACTTCTGGCCTGATGCGGTGCGGAGTGCGTGTGTGGCCAAGAACAGAGCTTTAACTCATGTGGGAGCCGACAAATGGGTGCCCTATGTGGAGTGGATTGGAAGGAAGCCAAAGGTGGATATACTTGAGGTTTTGGGGTGCATGTGCATGACGCTCGTGCCTAAGCATCTTCGGCACAACAAGCTCGGTGCCAAGGCGATATGGGCTGTGCACTTGGGCATGGCTCAAAAAAGCAAGGGGTGGCTTCTTTGGGACCCATTCACAAATAAATTCTTGGTGAGCAGGGACTGCAAATTCATGGAGAACCTGATGTATACGGATTGGAAGGCGGAGAATGAGGCGAAGATAAGCGTGCGGTTTGGGGAGGTGAAGAGTTCCGGTTTGGAGCATGTTGAGCTGCCTTTGAAGCTGAGGAATGGCAGCACCACCACAAAGTAATCTTCCCTTATGAATGGGGGAGAGGAGGCCTTGGAGAGTAGTGATGCTGAGGAGTGGAAGAAGGCAGTGGAGAGTGAGCTGAAGAGCATTGAGGAGAACAGCACGTGGGAATTGGTGGAGCTACCGGAGGGGCCTAAGGCGATTACGTCCAAGTGGCTCTTCAAGATCAAGTCCGACGCCGACGGCAAAATCGAGCGCTACAAGTCTAGGCTTGTGGCCAAGGGGTACCATCAGAAGGAGAAGGTGGACTATAAGGAGTTGTTTGCTCCTGTGGTGAAGCCGACGACGCTGCGAACCCTACTCGCGGGAGCTACCATCAAAGGATGGGTGGTGAAACAAATGGACGTGACAACGGCATTCCTCAATGGCATTCTCGAAGAAGAGATTTTCATGGCGCATCCAGAGGGGTTTGATGATGGTAGTGGCAGAGTTTTGAAGCTGAAGAAGGCTCTTTATGGACTGAAGCAGGCCCCTAGGCAGTGGTACTTGAAGCTGCGAGGAGTTTTGGAGGAGATCGGCTTCACTCCCTCAACGGCCGATCATTCCTTGTTCATGCTTGGCGAGGGGGAGCAAAGGAGTTTCATGGTGGTTTATGTGGATGACATCCTCATTTTCTCACCCTCCTCTGACCTTGTGAAGGAGGTGATGCTGAAGCTTCAAGACAAGTTCAAGTGCAAGGCCCTTGGTGACGTGAGCTTCTACCTTGGGCTCCACATCGAACGAGATGTGGAGAAGCGGTGCATGCGGGTGCATCAACGGAAGTACCTGGAGGCCTTGGCTGCCAAATTTGGGCAGATTGAAGGCCATGTGGCTACTCCATTCCCTTCTGGGTTCAAGTGTGTGAAGGGATCAGAGGAGGAGAGCGTTGGAGAAGAGGAGAGGCGCCATTTTCACTCGTTGGTGGGCAGCCTCATGTACGCGGCGGTAAACACCCGACCAGACGTCCCCTTTGCTACTGGGCAGCTAGCTAGGGTTGTTCAATGCCCTAATGAGGAGCAGGTAGTTGCTGGAATGAGGGTGGCCAAGTATCTTGGCAAAGCACCGACCGTTGGGCTGCAATACTCGGCGGCGGCGCAAAGGCGCCAAAAGGGCGCGGATGGTGTTGAACCCGGGCGTTTGTTCCTCACCGCATTCTCGGATGCTTCTTATGCATTGGAACCAGAGGACATGACAAGTGTTGGAGGGTTCATTTGTTGTGTTGGTGGAGGCCCATCTGCTTGGGAGAGCAAGAAGCAGGTGGATCAAGCATTGAGCTCGGTGGAGTCCGAGTACATGGCACTCTTCCGTGCCGTATGGGAGATTGTGTGGCAGCGGCGTTTGTTGGCTGAATTTGGGGAGGAGCAAAAGGACCTACCCCACTCTAATGTGACAGCCAAGGTGCCATTGCTCTTGATAAGAACCCTGTGTTGCATGGCCTCACGAAGCACTTGAGGGTGAAATGGCATTGGACGAGGAGCATGGTGGCCGTGGGTGAAGTTGAGTTGCACTACGTGAAGACCACAAGGCAGCCAGCTGACATGATGACCAAGAGGCTGGTGGAGCAGCAGCATTGGAAGTGTTGCAAGCTGGCTGAGATGGCTCTGAACTGAGAGATTCAGATCCTAAGGCCAACAATCCGAGGGGGAGTTTGTTGGTGCAACCCTACGGTTTGCATTCGGCTTGTTGTCCGTGTGCGTGCATGCGTGTGTGCATGGAATGGTATGAGGGCATTAAATAATATATATTTCATGATTACAATAGTGTGTGAATGATGAGGCATGATTACAATTTCATGCTTACAATGATGTGTGTGTCGAGTCAATAGCGAGTTAGCGCTATTCGCGTGTCACGTCGTTGTTTGCGTGTCGTGTGCGGTTTTCTATTTTGTCGTGTGTGGAACGTTCGGCAGGTCGCAAGTGTGCGCAGCAGAGTTCTAAGAACTCAAGGAATAATTTATCTTGAAGAACCCTAGCCTTGGTTTCAAGATTCAAGTGATTTCGAAGCTCTCCAAAATGGTAAACTTTAAGATAGTGAGAATAGTTGCATTACTTTGTGTTGTGTAACATTTCTCTTGGTGTAGGCCCTTGTAGAGGGTAGTTTCGAGACCCTTCGTGGTTGGGAACAGTGTGGCACTGTTCCACATCACTGTACCTCGGCTCTTGGGGTTTGTAGGAGCTGGGAGTCATTCCCAACTCGTAACTCTTCCTAATTTGTGTTCTAGGACTATAGTGGCTGCCATAGTACCGCTCGTTCAAACCAACGCTGTGTCGTCAATTATTCATGAAATCGTGCAATCTAAATTGCTTATTGTAGACGACGTTAAGACGCTCCAGATCCAAGTTGAATCAGGTCATTTGAAGCTGTGACCAGAACGCTATCAACGTTTGAAGCCGCTATGCAGAAATCTGACTGTGCACTCTATCTTTCGTTTTAGGCACCTATTGTGACTATAACATGCAGGACATAGAGCTGCAGCACATCCCTACGACAGTGCAGCCCGCGGACTTCTTCACAAAGCGGCTCGACAAGGCAGCCTTCAACCGATGCTGTGCAGCAGCCGGGCTGGTGCAGCGTGCTCCTGACAGCAAGGGGGCGTGTTAGAAGGAAATGCTGCCATGAGCAACAAAATGTCAGCGCTGGGATTCGAACTCGTGACCTTCAAATCTGTCCTGAAAGTGTCTCAGGACAGATGCAGGACAGTTTCTGCTAAGGCGCTGGTTTTGGTGCACGCGAGGTTCGAACTAGAGACCTTTCGATTCAAGTGTCCCGAAAGTGTCTTGTCAGGACGGATTGGGGACAGTTTGGGGACAGATTGGGAACAGTTTGGCGAAATCGATCTCGGGTCGCGTTCAGTTTGAAACTCGGCAGCGAAGTGTCGAAGTCAACTGAATTCGCAAAGGAGTTACAGTCGGTGGTCTATGGAATTCTGGTCGCGGAAATGCTCATCTACGGAATTCTAGTCAATGGAATTCGCCCGGCGAAATTCAAGGCTCTGAATTTCGCGTCGACGGAATTCAACGAGCGACCCAGGTCGACACTTTCTAGTGTGCTTTGTTTTTGTATTGCGTCCTAGTATAAAACCAGAGAGCACAAACCAGAAATTGACTAAGTCATTATCACTGCTATGTTTGTGTGTAACTCTGGCTATAGTGGACCGTTTCCTGCAATCTTTGGTACGTTGGAATCGTGCTTTCAAGCTCTATGAAGCTGCTATAGTAGTGGAATTCTACAAAAACAAGCCACGGGTAGTCGTCAGACCACTGTTTTTTGTACATAAATAACATTTCCTGGTATTTCTCCTCAGCAATGTCAGGCAGTTCTGTTTCCGAAGTAACATCAACCGCTTTCGCCTTGAGTTTACGCTGTTGAGCCTGTGGGGAGAAGTTCCCCACACCAGACGTGGGCGTCACTTGACTGGCACCCCACTGGATCTTTGTCTGGTGTTACTTCGCTTTGATGCCCTTTTTGAGACGTGGGCCTTTGCGAGCAGATCCGTTAGCGACAGGAGGACAGTTCTGTGTAGGTTTGGAAGCGATTGGCGGATCGACAGGTGTTGATGCGGCAGCGGCGACATGCCTCGAACACTCGCCCTGCGTCCACCTTGTCAAACTTATATGTTGCATGTTCTGTAGTCTGTAGTGGGGTAGCCCATATGGGGTACAACACAACTTAGGGTTAGTACTTGTACCCATCCTGCTGCTAGTTCATTTCATTCTCGTTCATTCTTCTGACATGGTTTCAGAGCAGGTCCTTCGCTAGGACCGTTTTTTTTTCCTTGGGCCCACCACTGAGCTGCCCCACTAGCCGCCACTAGCGACCCTCATGCAACACCTGCTGCCCAATGCGCCACCCTCGTGCGGCTTGTCGCCCCTAGCCCG